CCAATTTTATAGGATTCTGTAACGTTAGGAATGATCCAGATATTTTTTCTTCTTCGTGTATATGATAAGTCCGAGTGGAATGATTGTAGGTTCAAGGATGATCAGAATTTTTTGGGGGATATTCCACAAAACAATCGCGAGTTCTGATTTGTTCGTCCGCACTTCACGTTTTCGGTGTGCGCAACATTCAGTTGAAGCAAGATGCAAAACCTTTTGCCGTTAGCCAGCCTTAATTTTATACCTTTAGCAAAATCTCATGCTGTCACGGCGTACCTGAAAGAGATGCTAACCAATGATTTGGTATAACCCATCCATTGTTCTGAGTGATAATTCCTTGCAAAATATGGCACTGTATGTGAAACGATTGGCAGAAAACAGGTAAACAGGTCCTCGTACAGCGATTCATTTTGTCCTCCAATCAGCAACTCACTGTAGTTTTATATTGTGTAACGGATCTTTCCAAGCGGGATTTTATATTGCAGTTTCCATATTTCATGGACCAACGATTCCAAGCATCTAACTGCTGTTCTTACTCTCGATGTGTTATATCAGTACAGAATGTTGCTCAAGAGTTTTTAGTTCTGCGCCCGCTACTTGAAAAGTTCATGACTGCCACACTGGCCAATATTGAGGAGCAGATTGCCTACATTGACGATGATTGTGTTTACAGCCAATAACCGAAAGCGAATGAAGAAAGGTTATTCAGAGTCTTCGAAAACAGCATCTAGATGCATCTAGATTTCTGGGACACATCATCGCGTGCAGCAGCATTCGTTCGTAATGCAAACAACCGCAGCATCACTGCGGCTCCACCACCAAGGAATGAAACAGAAGTGAAGTCCATTTTGAGTATGTTATTATAGGTTGCACTATCTGCAAAACTTCTCGAATCTGACAGATTCTTTACAAACCCCAACAAAGAAGGGATCATCGTTCTGCTTTAGAAGCGATTAGCGAAATGTTTGGTGAGCTGAAAAGACAGGTTGCTCCGCTTCTTTAGCTGTCATTTTCGATGAATCGTGCCGCACGTTTGTGTAAGACTGATGCCATGCTCTGACAGATATAAAACAATGAGGAGCAAGTTTGTCGTTTACGCATCACGGAAGCGTCAGGCTCAAAACGCCGTTTTTCAGTTTCAAAAAAAGCATTTTCTGTGTGGGCTGGTAAAAATGGCCTTCTTTTTCGGTTACCGTTTCACTCCATGAACTGCTCATTCCTCCTTAATAGCCCTCCTCAGCAATGGGTGTAAAGATCTCGTCTGGTACGAATAAATCGTTGGTTTCAGAGTATTTAACCACCATTTTAAATTGTGCACCGGCAGAGTTTTGCAAAACCAGATTGCTGATGGATTATCTCACTAAACTGTGGGGCTAGAACAGGAAAATGTGCGACCCAAATAGGCGGTGTTAATTTTCAACCTTGCTGTCAGTATACCTTCCTTGACTATTGATAACTTAGGAATAAAAACTGCGAATGACACGATGCCACATCAGCAAGAGTGACCCAAGGACTACAGAGTCCCCAGTGAGTTCGTTCCGTGTTACACAATTTTGGATGAACTATAAGTGATAGATGGTTGTCCGATATTTTAGCTCCATTTTATTTGGTAAATAATTGTTTGCACACAGGTATCTTTCTGACCGACCACCGAGCAAGGCTACTTTTTTTAGTCACGTATCGCATCTGGCATAGAGGCATTTGTGATGGACTGTAACGCCTGCAGATTAGCGGACAAACGTCCGTTGCTGTTTGGAGCCCCGGTGCAACCCATAACAAGCGGAGAATTTAGATGGCCATTAATCTTATGGGTATTTTGGCCACTATTCCTACGAATAACAGAATGCAACTAGTTGCTACATGTTTTGAAATTAAGTGGTCTGAGTTTCATATGTGCGACCGTGACAACTTCGGTTGGTTAAAACATTTGTTCAGTCGTTTAGGACTACCGGAAGAAATAGGCAAGGACAATGGACTACAATGTTTTACTTGCGAGTTCAGAGAAGTGATTGTTATGGACGACCAAAGCCAATGTGCTATCGTTAGGTTTCATTGGCTGGTTGGCAGGTGTTGGTTTTCTTTTCATTGGTTGTACGAAATACGACATTAAACGACCAGTAAACGGTCATGTATTCTTCGTACTCTGGTAGCTTAGCGGTAAAAGTCATTTTCCGCTGCATCCTTGATACAACAGCTACGCGTGAATGTAAAGAAAAGGATAGATTTAGATCATTTGATTATGCATGGTGATCGGGTTACTTTTCATAGCTCACCGCACCTACTTCGAATTTTGATCTCCTTCGCCATTTTACATTCTGACGCTTGAGTAGTAACCGCTAGCAGTGGAAACGAAGAAACGCCCCGCAGCTGGCGCAGCTCAAACCAGGAAAAGACAGACGAAATGCACACCATCCCCTAACCAGCATTTCGCATAACGTGTTGATCATGTGCATTAGACTCGTTCAATCACTGAGTGGTTGAACCTTAGACGCACGCACGATTGCATATTGGGCAGTTAATAGGAAGTGCGCAGCAGTACTGGAGGACTTGTCGATCCTCACACACGCGTGACGTGCGTGCTACTGGTTCATTTGGATTATTTCCCTCTATCCTCTCTCCATCTTCTCGCAGCGTTGTCACTGTATGCTCATTCGAACCGGATTTACCAGCTCCTCACAGTGATCCATCATACGTGGAAATATCTTCTACGATTAGAGGCTGTGCCATCACTAAGTGTTCTCACTCGCATCTGTGATTAAGCGCAAGCGTTTAATTCAATCGTATTGAGCCGTTGCCATTCCGTGTGACACCATTCGGTACGGAATTCTCGAGGCAGGCCGAAAAGCCTAAGCTTACTGCGATCCAGTGTTTCACAACACAGCTGTGGAAGAATCTGTGTTCAGCGCTCTGTTCAGGTTCCAGTCACTCGCCATTCCTTGTGACCTTGTCAGCCAGTGCGGCTGCATTACCCATCACACGGGCCGCGCGACCACGCCGACCGCTCATTTGACCTTGCAACCACCACGCTCACCTGACCGATGTGCGCCGCTCTCAAAGCTGTAAAAGTACAGAACGCTAACCAACCCACTGGGTCAGGTAACGACACCAAATTGAATGGCAGAAAGGCGAAACCGAAGAGACTCCCATCGAAAGGCATTTGCGGGTTAGGAGAATGTCATCGGGTAGTAAAAATCGGTCTGGCTTGTTCGCACTGTTTGGAATGGTACCATACGAAATGTGCAAATGTGTCCCAACAACAGTTACGGGAGCGAAATAACTCCCAACATGCATTTTGGTTCTGTACTGCGTGTTCCACCATCCCCTCGTTAAGTGCTTGCTTATCCTAGCTGAGAAATGCTACCGGTTAATCGCAGAAGCAGAGCAGAGGATAAACAATGAGATTACTTCAATGGGAGCGAGTATGGACCACAGAAGCGTAGCGGCTGCTAAGCAACGGAATGCTGAACAAATCGCTTCCCCTGCACCGCAATCAGCCACGTCTCCATCTCCGTTGTCTTCTCCAACTTTGGTAGAACGCCGGGCAAAAACAGACTGTACCTACGTGAATCAAACTGTACTCACAGCAAAGAAAATCAGGCACCATTCAAAACGTCTGGTTAAGCAAATTCCACTAGACCTGACATCTAGTATTAACAAGGATGGAGCAGCCGAACACCAACCCTTGGTACCTGTAGCTCAAATATCTCTTGTCGAGACTAAGCCTCCCAGAACATCGGTTACATATGCAGAGATTGCTGCAAGGGTCCACCGAGAGGCCGCCGTTGCGTCCTCTTCCATTGTAAACACCGTTAACGCAAATGGAGAGAAAAACAGCAAACAATCACTTGTCAACAAGTCAAGACAAATGAGTACCATACCTAGTAGATCGATTAAAAAGAGATCCAACAACAGTGTCCGGACTGTTGTATGCTCAAATGTCCCTGAATCTACCGCCATCACATTGCGGGATAAGTTATCAGACGACCAAGACCAATGGCACTCATTGTGTATGCAGATGAGTATCAAAGCCAAGCCCATAAACTTGTCACGAATTACTCGTCATCCGAACTCGCCACACTATGGTGAACCCAGACTTATTCGAGTAACTCTAGAATCCTCCACCGATGTAGAAAACGTTTTGCTCTCCGCAAGCGCGCTAAAACACGAATCCTGTGGGATACGTATCTATCCTGATGTCCCTTGGAGCGCGCGACAACCAAAACGAAACACCGAAGAGGGGCACAGCAAGCAAGACCGCCTAAACACAATCTTCATACATGGCGTGCCAGAACATCCTTCTAATGATGTTCAAGAGAACGGAAAGCACGATTTAGAACAGTGGCGGTTCATTCGTGAAACACTTTCTTTGGATGATGTTGTGGCACTATCGCTCACCAGGATACCTCTCTCATCGAATTATAGAGGATGCGGCCCTAGAATCCTAAAACTTGTGGTTCAGTCAGAGCAACAAGCAAAGGATGTTTTGGATCGATGGCGAAGAAATCGGAAACATCTTTCTTCCGAAATTCGGTTAAAGGTCGCAAACAATTCGCACAGCTCAAGTATTAAAGCAACTGAAGCAGCAAGCATCCTGACGAATGTTCAGAAGTGTGACTTGACTGCTGCTTTAATTGACTCTGAAGTAGGTCTAAACGAAGGCTGGGACGCACCTTGGCCGAATCAAGTTGCAAACGAGGTATCATTATCCCATCAAAAAAACGAATAACTGCCGACCTTCTATCGGTCGGCATTCTCCCACACTTGACAGCTTCACCTCTCTGCGGGCTCCTAGAGACCGAGAAACTGGCCTGCTTGTATACAAATGCTCAGGGACTTTCTAACAAACTGGCTGAACTGAAAGATCGCCAAGCTTCGGGCTCGTATGATGTCATTGGTATCACCGAGACATGGTTGCACACGGGAATGGCGGACGCTGAAGTGTCGCTACCCGGCATGTTGCTGATCCGGAACGACAGGCTCACAAAAGTAGGAGGGGTAATCCTGTACTACAGAAACGACTTACATTGCGAAGCCGTGGAGGATTCAGACTCGCGTTTCCATGACTCTATTGGTGCCGGTTGCAGTTAAAAGGCAGGGACGCTTGCCTTATTATCTTGGTGTACCGCGCCCCTAACTCAACACCCGAAACCGACTACCACCTAATGGCTGCTTTAAGGTGCAGTTTACAACAAAAGTACACTCACATTCTTATCATGGGTGATTTCAACGTACATTGTTTAGAAGCCCCTGCCACAACCGGCGAACAATTCAAAACCGATTTACAAGATCTAGTAACTACTGTTCCTCTTTACAACCACATCACTTTGCCCACTCGGTTCAGAATTGGTAACAGGCCATCTGTGTTGGATCTTGTGCTTACCAACGAGGAGCATATGATTGATGCGTTGGTTTTAGACTGCCCGTTGGGTCGCAGTGATCACGCAGTGATCAGTTTCAACTTCGTCTGCTATGCAGAATATCGGAATGATAAAGATGAGACTGTGCGAACCATCACAAGGTACGACCGACTCTCCCAGCTAGTCAGCGCCACAACATGGTCTTGCCTCGAAGAAGAACCCCTAGGATTCGCCTGGCTCGAGTTCGTCAATACATTCAGTCAGCTGATTGCACAGGCTTCAGAGATAAAAGCTTACAATAAGTGCAGATCCGTTTCTTTCGTTAGGAGCAGAACCCGAAAATGGATGACAGTACGCAACGCAGCATGGCGAGTGTACAGAGAAGCTCCAGCACCAGAAACTTGGGACAACTACGTAGCCCAACGTAACCACTGCACTCAACTGTTAAGAGAAGACAAAGCCGCCTATCAGCAGAACATCGCAACAACCTTCAGTGCTAACCACAAACTGCTGTACAAGCACGTTAATAGCCTACGAAAGGTGAGGCAAGGATTTCCCCCACTCAAGACGGCTGATGGCCCAACAAGAACATCTTTGGAAGCTGCAAACGCGCTGCAGATGCAATACGCCCCCACGTTTCAAAGGGTCTTGCCACCAAGCGATCTACCAAACTTTGTGTTCTGCTCACCAGGACTAACCCACATCAATTTTACCGCAGAGGCTGTATTGCAAAAGCTGACTTCCCTACGCAAACACAGCTCGCCGGGTGTCGACGCCATTCGTCCTGAGGCATTTGGAGCAGCAGCAAACCAACTGGCAGGACATTTAGCTCAGTTTTTTCAACACTGCTTAGACCAGAACCAAGTTCCCGCCATGTGGAAGCTTGGAATAATAAGCCCGATTCACAAAGGCGGAAACAGAACTGATCCCTCCAACTACCGCCCAGTAACCCTTCTTCCTATACTCTCCAAGGTCATGGAATCCATAGTTGCCGATGCACTGGTGTGCTATCTGGAAATCTGCAACCTCATCACTCCTGAACAGCACGGTTTCCGTCGACAGCGGTCATGTACAACTAATTTACTAATTGCACGCAGTAGTTGGACCGAGGCAGCCGACGCTGGAGAAGGTGTTGATGTGATTTACCTGGATTTTTCCAAGGCTTTCGATCGTCTAGACCATCGAATACTACTATCCAAGCTGCAGCATTACGGGATCGGAGACCCTCTTTTAAGCTGGATCGCCAACTTTCTATTTCAAAGGCAATTAGTGGCCAGAGTTCGGAGCTCTTTATCGGACCCCATAGAAGTGGAGTGTGGTGTGCCGCAAGGCTCGGTTCTAGGTCCACGTTTGTTTCTGGTGTTTATTAATTACCTTGCACAGGGAATCGCTTCAAACTTCCTAATGTTCGCCGACGATATCAAGATCTGGCGCAGGATCCAGGCGAACGCCGACCAACATGTGCTTCAAAGTGACTTAGATACAGTGTATCAATGGTCGATCCAAAACTTATTGCATTTCAACGTCAGTAAATGCAAGGTGCTTTCCATCCGACATCCAAGCAGCTACTCATACCGAATCGGAACGAACGTACTGCAACAATTAACTGTCGAACGTGACTTGGGTGTCCTGGTTCAAGATGACTTGGGTTGCTCCAGGCGATCCGAAAAGGCCTCGAAGACCGGGAACCAACACGTTGGGCTGTTGAGGCGGGCGTTTGGACAAATAAACAGCTCCATATTTCGACAAATGCTCAGTGCGTATGTTCGCCCCCATGTCGAATATGCAATTCAAGCCTGGCATCCATGGCTGAAACACGATCTTAATGCACTGGAGCAGCCACAACGCCGGGCATCTAAGAACGTGATTGGAATGCGCCATCGGTCCTACCAGGAGAGGCTGCGACGACTGGGATTGTTCAGTGGAAGCTATCGCAGGCTACGAGGCGACCTGATTATGGCATACTTGATTCTGCGAGACCCACATCATGTGTGCCGCTCTTTACTGCAACTCGGCAGCAATACAAACCTGAGGGGCCACTCATTAAAACTCGCAGAACAATACAGTCGTCTGGAGTGCCGCAGAAATTTCTTTTCCATTCGTGTCTGTCACCCGTGGAATGCTCTCCCAGAATCGGTCGTCTCTGCACCGACACTAACAATATTTAAAAGACGGTTGGACGATGCACTCATCCACTTACACTTTGTTACTTAACACTATGTCTCCATCCTACACCTGGAGTTTACCCTGGAATTACTTGTTGTTAACTGTGGGTGTTGTGAATCTAAGTGGATCGCAGGACTGCAGCGAAGCAAACGATAAGTCCTTATTTTCGTATTTAAATTGTTAACTATTTTACTATCCTTTTCATCATAATTATTATGTTGATATCTTCACCAACTATCCAACGGGGCTTGTAAAGCAACGCTTCTTAACCAGTATAAATCCATTGTTCGTTGTTCATTGGTCAAACAGATACCACATTAAGTTCCCAAACATCCGCGACGTGCATTCAGAAAGATGATTATGAAATATTGCATGGAAGCAAGTGGCTAACAGATGTGTTTTATACTATCGTTTCTGTAACAAAAAGTTCTCCGCAAGTTTGCTAATAATATACCTGGGAAAAGAGGTAGAAGCAGGTTCCAGCCTTCCTTAATGAAAAAGGACGGGATGTTCCTGCACAGAGCGCTCAAGTCGCCCGTTGATAACTCGATGCAATTATGGCCGACCGTGCAATTGTAACTAATGATGACACTGGTCTTCTGACCATGTCATGTATGGACATGTTTAACACGTAATAGCAGTGGTATCTTGAAACTCAGCTGAAACAACTCCCTGAGTGGCCATCCAAAGAAGTGATTTACACCAGATAAAGTGGCGATTGTCTGACAAGTCACATCGAATAACCGGAGTGAGCATTACCGTTAAATGGGCCTAGTACGAGCTAGGAATTGTCAGATGATAGGCGACTAACAAAGCGATTCTTTTGAATCATCATCATACTACACGTTAGCTGGAGGTGGAGAACACCTCAGCTACTGTGCCGCAATACATAGAAAAAAGGGGAAAAAGCAACTTGTGCAAGCTGGCTGAGCTACCGGTAACGGATGAGCATCGTTCCGACAAGCTACCAGCCGGCTGCTGTGCACCAAAAAAATTACTATGCAAACTTTTATAAGGCTAAATAATGAGATCGTGGTTAGAGGGAGAGGCTAAGAGGGATGGGGTGGGACAAAGAAACTCACAGCACGAACGCCACTGAGGTCGGCTCCTAGCCATATCAGCAAGTGTGTCCAACCAAACGTGTTCATCGTCTTTCGGACCCCCATCCAGGGAGCCGAGACGCTCCAACCGAGGCCAGTTCAGAAGTGAGGGTCTTCATTCCTCTGGACCAAGTCATCGCTTGGCCACCTTTCCTCTTCTTCCATCCACACCCCCGGCGCGCAAACAACACACGTCGCGGAAGTCGGTGGGCTGGCATGCGTAACACATGGCCGAGCCATCGGAGCCTGATGCGTGAAATAACGGTGCTGAGCGGTTCAGTTCCTTTTCTTGTGCCATAAACAAGGCGTCGAACACGCTCGTTGCTCACGCAGTGTTCCCACCAAATGTGAGCTAAATTACGAAGGCACCGGTGGTCGAACGTAACTAGCCTCTTCAGGTCCGCTGCTTTAAGCGGCCAGGTTTCGCAACCGTACAATAGGGTCGAACGTACTGCTGCATTGTACACTCTACCCTTCAGGGTAAGAGTGATGTCGCGCCGGCGCCATAAGTGGCGAAGGTTAGCAAAAGCTCCCCGAGCTTTTGCTATACGATTCGTGATTTCATCTTCAATCCCACGGGCGCTGATACAACTTCCCAGGTATTTGAATTTCCGAACGACTTCTAGCTGATCCCCACCAAGGGTCAGCACAAAGGGCGAACCTTGCCAATCCTGGAGGAACGCTTTGCACTTCGGTGGTGCAAAGCAAAGCCCGAAGCGACTGACAGTCAGTGCTAATCTGTCCAGCGCGGCTTGACACGTCTGGGAGCTGTCACAGATGAGGGCAATGTCGTCTGCATACTCTAAGTCAAGAAGTCGTTCTCCTGGGAGTAGCTCCACACCTTCCAAGTCATGTCCGTGTAAATGCAATCTCCATGACTTCGTCAATAGCGAAGTTGAATAGGAAAGGTGACAGCAGGCATCCTTGTCTCACACCGCTGGAGATATTGAAGGGTGGCGACAGCCTGCTGTAAGCCCTTACTCTGCCCGTGCTACGCGCATATAATGCTCGGATAATATTCACATATTTCTCAGGTACATCTTTCCTGAGTAAACAGTCCCAAAGTGCATGTCTATCCACCGAATCGAATGCACCTTTGATATTGAGGAACACGAAAATGGTGGGCCGCCAATACGTGTGACGGTGCTCCAACAACTGACGCAAGGTGAAGATGTGGTCAATGCAGCCACGACCTCGACGAAATCCAGCTTGCTCTTTACGAATCTGGCTTTCACGAGTGCCAGTCAGTCTGTGAAGGATGACAGAGGCAAGCAATTTGGAGGCGATGGAGATCAGACTGATTCCTTTATGGCTGCCGCATTCCGACCGTGAGCCTCCTTTGAAAATTGGGACTATGATGGAGCGGCTCCAATCGGTTGGGACAGACAGCTGCTCCCACAGTTTCACTAGTAACGCGTGTAAATCATCCACAAGAGCAGGTCCCCCGAATTTGAAGAGGGCTGGAGGAAGGTCATCTGGTCCCGCGGATTTGTTCAACTTCAACGGTTTGATCTCATGTTCGAATTCTGAGCGAAAGGGTGGATCTAAATGGACAGCCCACGGAGCAGGGCGATCAGTGGCCGGTGAAGATTGGAACAATTCTAGCCGATTAAATTGCTTTTCAAAATGTTCTGCCCAAATCTCCAAACCTTTTGACAAACTGTGGATAGGCTGTCCACTCTCGTCACGTATAGTTTCACTAACACCAGGTCTCCTGCTGCCCGTTTCCCGTGTCAGACGAAATAACTCACGATGGTTGCCAAGGGCAGCGGCCATTTCCATCTCTGTTGCACGACGAGACCACCAGGATTCGCGGTCTCTCTTCAGACTAGCACGGAGTTTTGCCCGGAGCTCTTTGCGAGTTTCATTGTGTTCGCTTCCAGCCGGAATATGCCGGTGAGCATCTATAAGTTCCAGAGACTGTGAAGAGACCCAATGTTCATGTTGGCGATTAGACATACCACCTGATGATTTGCCTGCTGCTAATAACATCTGGTGAATATGAGACCAGTGAGCTTCAATTGCATCCAGTGAGCGTTTATCCAACTCGCATGACAGCGTACTTTGCTAAGCATTCAGAACAACTGGCTTTGCCAGTCTGCCGGTGTCAATGCGCTCACGAAATCGTCGCGGGCGTCAGCCAAAACGCATCCGCAGGTCAGCACACACAAATACATGATCGGTGTCAACACCTGTGCTCCAAAATCGAGCGACAGTTCTAGACGCAGCCTCTCCATCGGTAACTTATCGCAATGTGATCGATTTGCTTCCATAGCTGGTTCGAGGCTGGTGGGCGCCAAGTCAACTTCCGGCGGGTGCTGTGTCGGAAATTAGTGCTCGCAAGAAATAAGCGAGCATCTTCACACAAATGAAGTAACCGCTCACCGTTATCATTACGGGAGCCTATACCATGTTGGTCGCCCAGATGCAGCTAATCTGTGGATAATATTCCAACTTAGGCGTTCAGATCCCCGGCCAGCACTACAGTGTCCGAGCTTCCTCTGTGGTTAAGGAGCTCGTTCAGTTGACGATAGAAGTCGTCTTTTACCGAATCATCGCTGCAGTTTGTCGGTGCATAGGCAGCGATAACGAATAGACACCTGTTAGTCTCATGCGACTTCGACGTTTTGAACGAGCCAGCCAATCGGACCGCACACATCCGGCTACTGATTGGAATCCAATCAACCAGAGCAGCTTCAGGCCGGGGACTCAGGGCAATACCAACACCGGCTTGGCCGGTGCTCGAAGCTGCATCGTCACCGGATAGGCGCAATGAGAAAGCACTGTTTGCGTCATCTGAAGGGGATGGCAGAATGAGTACAGAGCTCGAGTCTTGCAGTCGGGTCTCCGATAAGCAGCAGATATCGATCGAGAGGGTCTCTAATGTTCGAGCAAGTGCTGCCTGTTGACCGATCTGAAGCAATGTGCGAACATTGAGGCATGCCAATCTGAAGAAGGATCAAGGGCTCCAAATGGAAGCCGATGAACTGGAATGGGCCGCTTGCTTGGACATGGGCCTGTTGACAATGCAGGAGTGATGCTCCGCGTTCATCTGTGAGTTGAAACTAAAAGGCAAGCGACTATTGAAGCAAGATGGGGGAGTGCCGAGAATTGGGGTTTGAAAACAGGGGGATAAAAGTAAAGCTGGAACGGGACCATAAGGGTAAAAAAGTGCGAGAAGGGAAAGAAGAAGACGGGAAGGCTTGAGCAGTAGCATCCAAACCTCCATCCACCCTGCTCGATGCAGCAGATAGGGCACCGTTGATTATCCTCTGCGGTGGCCAGAGCATCAGCAATTTGTTTTGGGAAGGATTCATTGTATTGCGGGGGCAAGATACTGTCAGGTTGTGCAGGCCTGGACAGGAGAACGATTAGTTTTCTCAACCAAAGCCTTTGGTTCAAAAACCTGTCCGCAAATCAGCGGGTTTGGCACTGGACTACAAGCAGTCCGTTTTAAGGAATAAGGAGCCACCTTCATTCCAAACCCCAACCAGGAGGACCAGGAGGCTGAGTTTGTCTGGCCTCTAACCATTGACCAATCTGGTATGAGTGGCTCTGAAGGTGCAAAAGCACCACCCAGTATAGCTCAATGGATCACTGAGGCACACAAACCATCGCACCACGGTAAGGTCCAGCCTTATTGCGATGGTACCACGGTAAAGTCCAGCCTCCAGGCAGAATACTGGTGAGTACTCTATTTGTTACGCCTTTTTTTCGTCATTTATTTGAAACGGACTAAAGCAATTAAGGTAAATGAGATAGCGTGGTAATATGGCATTTGTTGATTTAATGTTAAAGAAGGATTGACTTCAGCTGGAAGAAATTCTCATTTCCGGAATACCTTGCCACCTGTGTCCTGAAGTTCAGGATGAATAACACAAATAAACGCACGCACACACGCGCATACACCAAGCTTATCGTGTCGCCACTGAACACATGTAATGTTCCGTCAGTTAATTACACTGTGTCTTGTCCAGACTTGTTCTTGATACCGTGGGCTCTGAGCACTACAGAATATTCGTTCGCGTCACTAATACGTGTCATTTGACGACAGCTATTACCGTGTCCATTGTGAATGCACCCATGCATTTCTGGTTATGTGCGAAAAAAAAACCATCTATGACCAATTGGAATTGATGGCGAAAAAACTTTCTGACTACCTGGAGTTACTTCCAATCTTGAATATGTTAGCCTCG